AACATAGTGCTGAACCGATTTGTGTAACAGGTATCACTTCCTTACCAACCAGGCTTGACTTACACGTGAGATTGTTATTCTAGAGATTAAACCTGTAAGCAAATATCGCCCTACAGAGATTCCTGGCATTACTAAAGTGACGCTCTTTAAAGCTTTGCATATTCACCAAAAAGTACACATTTAACGTACCTCATGTTAATATTACTCATAATCAATCCTTGGAAGAATGCAATTTCGTCATTATCAACAGCAAATGAGTGTGCAGTTATCGTATCGGATCAAGAGAATTATATGGGAAAAACATTCGACGCACTTTATTCTGAATACACGTTCTTTTTATACTTAAACAGTCAACTACACCCTCCTTTACGTTTGGCTTTAATAAATGTAGAATATTGATTAGGTATATTCACAAACCTTATTATAAATAGTTGATTTTCACAGTTATTTCCATATAAAAAAGTATTTCAATTTGCATGCATGTCAATATTCCTCCTCAGATTTGCCAATTCTGATTATTGGGAGCATTTTATCATCTAAACGCTTAACATAGGTGGGGTGTGTGCAGACTCCAGATCATTTGGCTAGCTTCAGGCAACAACAGCCAGTTGTTGGCCCTAGCATTTGTCTCCCTCGGAAAAAGTCAGACATTTCTATAAGGGCGATTAGGTCAGTGGTATCAGATTCCATCCTTGTGAGTCGTGGTGTTCACTACATGTGCCAAATGTACATTGCGTGGTTTAAATAACTCCACAGCAGTTACTTTGGACATGACACTGAGATAGGAACCTTCCTCACCATTCCGGGGGCCTTGCGTTTATTCGCGGGAAGATAAGTGTTAGTGCTGGTGTTGGGCTTAGAGTGAAGGTAGAGACAGGGTTAGATCATGGGTTAAGGATAAGGTTGTTTTTAGGGTTAAGGTCTGGTTGGTGCCTAGGGCACGGAACTACTTGCCCTTTCCCGAATTTTCGCAATGACATCTGTAGTACCTTGGGGCGAAGGTTCCTATTTCCTTGACTTGCCGCTACATTTGTATGAAACTTAATGTACCACATCGTGACCAGCCTTGTCCTCAGGGACTCTTTTCAGGAAGTGCGGCACCTCTTATTGTAACCCCAACTTTTTGTAGGTAGGGTGACTAGAGAATGTATGATGAAAATGTCCCGAAATATACTGACCGTCGAGGCGGAAATGAAATTTGAACATACGAACAATAATATAAATAATTGAAAACAAGGGAAAAGCCGCTTACATAATGCACAGAAAAGAGTTTGATCAGCCGGGGCGGGGGGAAATTCCCTAGTTGTTTAACAAAAGTGGTCGGACTGTTGTCAGTTTTAACTGAGTGAAGGTTGTTAAGGTGGCTTATCCAGTTTCGAAGAATCGCCTGAGTGAAATGGATAGTGGTGTAGATCTCGTCCTGCGACGGAGAAAATTGTGGAATCGGGTTCGTTCTGAATGCAGTTGGTTGACAAAGAAAGGAATGGGCGGGTATTTTTCCCAAGACTTCAGTACGAGTATGCGAGCGGGTAACTGGAATGAAGCGAAAGTTTCCATGGAAAGATCAGATGTTTAGATCATAAGGTGTACAATTTGATGTGGCTGCGAAGAATTGAAGAAACCATGGTACGCCCGACGGCTTGGTCCTGTCTGTAAGCAAAAGATGTTTATACCAAGTACTCAGACGAAAGTATGAGTGTGTGCGCCAAACTTGATTTTGCCCACTATATCCGAATACAGCACAAAAGGCATGACCGTAGTATTCTGTATACTGGTACATTAATCTAATTAAATAAACAGACAAATCGAATATAACAAAGCTAAAATGAAAAGGCCTTCTACGTCTATGTTATTAGTTACATGAAAAATGACCACCATATGCTTTTGTCCTCTGTCTATTCTAATGCTTCTGGGCGTACTCATACGATAGCTGTTTTGTTCACTATCGTTTGTAAAAAAGGACAATAGGTGGAAGATTTAACAGCTTCGATGGAGAAAAGAATGGTAAGGTCAATTTTCAGGCTACTATTTTATGGCAAGGTTACTGGAAACTTCAACGGCATTACGTTGCGAAAAACTGGTAAATTAAAAGAAAGAAAGATAAAAGGAAGAATGTTATTGGACGAAAATGGAAGATTTGGACAAGTTGAATAGACACTGTGATGCGAGATCCTCACAGAATAGTTGGAAAAGCCTTATTTAAGAAACAGACTAAACAATTCGGTAGTTTGATTTCGATAATTGCCAACCATAGAGCCTGCCATCAGTTCGGCAAAATTTCCAGCCACACTGCCCACAGGCATCGGGAACGTCGCAGGATTATTTAACTTGCCAATCGTAAAACCCTAATGATTTGCAGAAGTCTCCAAATGCCTTTAGCAAAACTTTCCTAAAACGTTCTGCATCATATTGTAAAACACCTAAACCTGATTCGGAGAACTTTCCATAAGAAAAAGAAAGAGATTGGCCAGGTATTCGAATAGTACTGTCACTGGACACCTGTCCCAGGCAGCACAGGAAACAGATCGTTAGTGTGAAGCTTACATTCCAATAAAATCCGAAGCTTTTTGAGTAAGATGAGCGCCTCTAAAGTGGTATTAAAACAGTAAATTCCAAGAAGGGCGAAATGTTTCTGTCTAAGCAAAGGGCAAAAGGGTACAATAACTACCATGAAAGTAAAGGGCAGTTGGGCAAAGCACCAAAGTAGAAATTAATTGCGGACAACTGCAATTAGCTGGAAGAAATTTATCTGTAAACTAGGAGGTAGCTTTGTGCCTCGTTAGAGTTCAATCCTTTCTGATGCAAAGTATATTTCCTATAAGGTAGCTATGACTGCGATTACAGTGAGACAAACATGACTTGATTTCTTTCGAGAAGACTAGTTGTATCACGATATGAAACTTACACTTCATGACGAAGTAGCTGCCTAGATTTTGAAAGGATTCTCAGAGGAAGGCTGACGTTTTGGTCTAACGCAAATTTTGGACTCGCAAGAAGGAAATTTCCAAACGGTTTCTACTCTCACAGAACAAGGCTGCTCTCCACGAGAATTGGCTTGAAGAACACCTCATTGCCTTCGCTTACATCGGCATTTTATCTTACGACCAGGACACCTTTTCCGCAGTCTTCACCTTCCACCGGAATTTAGCCTGGATCTGCACCACCTACCGTTTCGAAATTACTGTCTCAAAGTGCTTTTTATTGCCCCGAGCAACGTCTACGAACGGCTGAGTCGATTTATTCTTATTATTATTTCTGCTGCTTGCGCGGTTTATAGTCAGATCGTTAGCAACTTTCAAACGTAAAATTAGTTAAAACGCTCGTCAGACCCTCCTCTCTCAAGTTATTTCGACAGACCACTAGAAAACGGTCACATCTGAAATTCTTTCCCGAAGATTTCCCTT